TACAACGAAAGGAGACTGCGACCACACAAAAGGCCACACCATCTTGGTCTTCATACCTTCGATTAAAGAATATTCACTTTTTTTAAGACTCTCAAGACATTTTTACATTCAATTAAACGCCTTATGTCGCCCATAGTGAGGGTTATTTAGAGGAGTTTAGATTAATGGTGTATGCCATGGTTTTGCCGGCCATTATATGACTCGCTTCTTATTCAATTGTCTATAATGTTATTCTACTTCTAACCATGCTGCAGTATAAAATACTTGTGCAGCTATATATATGCATAAAACGAGTAGGTTGCCCAAATTAGGAATTGTAGAATTATAAAAAAAGATCTTTTACAATATTTGCATTTTACATAACGTAAAGCATTTCGGACAATTGTTATTATGCTGGCTCATGGTGCAGATAATAGAATGCGGCAATTATTTGTGGGTAAAATATTGCTTCTTAAAAGCAGATATAACATGAGTTTGTACATTTATTTATCTATTACTTTACTTTATGCATACATGTGCTCTGTTCTGTACTATATGATTCCCATTTTATACCATTTTTAGTATATGTATAGGAAAAATTCATCCTTAATTACTTGGCTTTCTGTGTTGATAATCGACGAATATGCTCGCTTGAAGAAAGACGCTACATGCATGAAGAAGTTAAATACTCAAACATAGACGATGCTTTGACAAAGAGGGTGAAATAATGATTTGTTGGTAAGTGGATTAAGAGAAAAGCGTGTATGGCAGCCAGAAGTCACGCCAGTCGCCAAAAATTGGTCCACGCAATCTGTGAGCATACCACTCCAATGTGTAAGTGAGCACAAAGTGTGAGACTGAAGCCAGGGTCAACAACTCGTAAACGGTCGAGTTGACGTAGCGTTTAGTTAAAAGGATTCCAGGCAGTCCGCAAAGCCCAATACCGATCAATTGGATTGGGCAGAAGAACCCGAGGGCCAGTGACATTATGTACTCGTGGTAAGCACCAGAGAGAAGAAAGACAGCAAAACTGGCCAAAGTAGTCTGCCAGCCGACGTGGCTGCCCAGAATTTGGGTGATTGACGTGAGAAGGTGAATCTCGCGATAGACGTAGTGGTACAGCCAGTCA